AAGGCCGGCGGCGACGGCCGGGACCGTTGGGGGCGGGGTGTGTGGCCATATGACACACTTCCGGTGATGTCAGGGGGTGTGGCCTTATGACACACTTCCGGTGATGTCAGGGGGTGTGGCATATGCTAATGAGTTATGCTAATGAGTCCCCCTAGCTCTTTTTCTACGAAACGACCCCTGTACAGGGGCATTATAATATTGGCCGTTTTATTCTTAGTCCCTTTCCCACGAACCCCTTAGATGAAGGCTAAGGAGACCCAGATTCAAATCTCTGCTGTGAAGCTCACTGCATAATCGTGGGGCCAGTTGCTGTCTCTCAATTCAACCTATCTTGCAGGCTGTTGTGAGGATAAAAACGGGGAGGGAGAACCCTGAGCTGCTCGTAGAGGAAAGGTGAGATAAGAATGGAAGGGGCTTATGGTTTGTGTTTGGACATTCTTCCCACAGGTCAGGCGAATCAATGTGACGGATGAGATGCAAGTTTTTGCTTTCTGATTTCTAATATGTTGAGAGTGACCAGATTTTTCTGTACAGGAACTTCATAAGAGATGTCTGGAAGTCTTGTGTGGTTGACTGCCAAGCTGATGATCTGTGTTTAGGTGTTTTTATAATTTGACTGTTTGGCATGATAATTTTGCGTTAACATCTCCATGTTTTGTTGTTGTTGTGTTGGCAAAAACTAGAGATGAGCCAACACAGCCATCTCCGCTTCTTTTGGATTTTGTACATTGTTCATTTTCGTAGCTCCCGTTGATTGTTTCGCTCCTTTTTACACCGTTTTCGTGCCACCGGTGGAGGAATTCAACATGCAGAAAAGAGAAACGGTGCCAGAATAAAGGCCTTTGTGGATTTATCTCTTGTAAAGGAGAAAATAAATTTGAAATTGAAAGGGGGGGGGGAATTCAAATTGAACCAGATTGCTTATGAAATCTGATCTCGCCTCCCATTCAGCCTTTTTTTTTTTTGCCATCAAGTCATAGCTGACTTATGGCAACCCAATAGGGTTTTTACAGCAAGAGATGAACAGAGGTGGATTGCCCTCACCTGCCTCTGCGTAGAGTCCCTGGACTTCCGTGGTGGTCTCCCATCCAAATACTAACCAGGGCTGACCCCACTTAGCTTCCGGGATCTGACAAGATCGGGCTAGCCCGGGCCATCCAGGTCGGGGCAACCTTCTTTGGATTGACCCATAAACCAAATCGACTGGATCAGTGGAGAACCACATCTGTCTGACTGTGTCTTTTTGCTTCCTTGGCTGCTCTCGTGCAGGTGACCTTCACCAAACGGAAGTTTGGGTTGATGAAGAAAGCCTACGAGCTCAGCGTCCTGTGCGACTGCGAGATTGCCCTGATCATTTTCAACCATTCGAACAAACTGTTCCAGTATGCCAGCACTGACATGGACAAGGTGCTTCTGAAGTACACGGAGTACAACGAACCCCACGAGAGCCGGACCAACGCAGATATCATTGAGGTAAAGAGTGTTCCCCCACCCTACCCCTCCTTCCCCTGGCCCTTGTTCTAGCAAGCCGCATGATACAAGAACACCCCAAACTCTAGTGCTGTGTTTAGATAGTACACAACAGTCCCCAGTGAAGTCAAGATATCTACGAGCATGGGACACCTGAACGTCCCGTTCAGTGGTAATGCTTGATTGGTTATCTGATTGCATAACTTCATAAGAAAATCTAGCTTTCCATTTCCTACAGCATCCGTTGAAGAAGCCCACAGGTAGGGTATGAGGGCAAGAGAATCTAAAGGTTTGTGTCCTACAAAGCGCCAGCAGAACCGAGGGTGGTTTCTCTTGCTGCGCCTCTCGTCCTTCAGATTGTCCCTAGAGTTGCGGAACCCGCATGAACAAGTAGCCCTGTGGGTTGGGGGGTCAGTGTTCCCTCTAAGCTGAGTTAGTGTGAGCTAGCTCACAGTTTTTTAGCCTCCGGTTCACACATTTTTGTCTTCGCTCAGGAAGGACAGCTCCGGAGCAAGCTAATTTAGGCAGTACCCAATTTGCTCGCTCACAACTTTAATGCCAGTAGCTCACAAAGTAGAATTTTTGCTCACAGGACTCCAAAGCTTAGAGGGAACATTGGTTGGGGTACTGCAGTGAGGAGGGGGAAGGGGGGCGTTGGTGGAAGAGGGAATGGAGCAATTTTGCACCCTTCTCTCTGCAGCCCTCCTCTTCCTAGCTTTGCAGCTGGTTGTCCGCAACTCCTGAAATGATGCTTCAGGGGAGCGGGGGGGGGGCTGCTGGGGTTATGAATGCGGGGGGAGGATCAGCTTGCCCTTTAAACTTGCCGATTCTTTAAACAAGCAGGCCTTTTGTTCTGTCCCCCCCCAGAGATAGATGACCTTCGAACTTTGACATTCCATTTAGCGAGATCGTATCCGATAGCTTCTCCTTTGTGAATTCGGCCCCTCCCCCCAATGTCAATGAAAGTGATAATTTCACTGGGCAGGGGGAATTTTGGCAGGTACAACTTCTCCCACTGGTATACTACTATACCCAGTGCCAATTGGATGTGCTTCAGCAGCTGAAGAAACGAGATCAGATGAAGTTAAGGGGTGGTGGGAGTTCAAATGTCATGATCAAGGCTGTCCGGTGATCTTAGATTGTCATTTACTGGGAAACGGCACCACGAGGTGGGAAATGTCAAAACCCCCCCCATTGGTTCTCATAAGCATGCCCCCCCCCCAGGTGGAGATGAGTAGAGGGTTAATATTAGTCATGACTGCACTGACCTCCAGAGGTAACTTAATCTGGTTTAATTTCTGGTGGGAGTGCGGATCTTTCGGTGAAAGACAGGCTTCTAGGAGCAATTCTGGAAGCAAGCCAGAGAGCAATCAGGAGTACAAACACAGCCAGAGATGGAGGTTGGCCAATCTAAGTCTTCAGCCTCCCAGGTATCCATCCACCCCCAGCTCCCCTCCCTCTGCTTTCCTCCTCTCCTTTCGGCAGCCACTTTGCGAGCCACAAAAGGCTCTGCTTCCTGCATGTGCCACGTTCCAGAGAGTGGGACAGAGCCGAGGCTGTAACAGCCGCTTTGTCACCTTTCAATGAAAAACTATGTGTGGGCAGCTCCCTTTATGCTTGGGGAAATTTAGACAAATGAAAGGGTTGGCTGGGTAATTATTGACATTACAAGAGCATAAATTAAGACACGCAGAACCTTTAGTCATTCAATCTATCTGCTCTAGACGGTGTGGAATACAAGGCCAGTGAAGGGGTACAGGGGGAAAATGTTCTATGGGGGGGGGAAAGGGGATTTTTTCATGCATGGTGCGTTCTTTTCACTCAGGTTCTCTCAGTGTATTTTCCCCCCCTGTTTGCAAAATTGAAAAAACAATATATATAATTATGTTGTCATTGGTTTGCTACAGACCTGATGGCTAAATCACTTCCAGCTTTTTAAGTTCAGAGCAAAGGGCTGGGGGAAATATGGTAGAGGTTTATAACACGAGGCATAGGCAGACATGCAAAACCCCGGCTTGATTGATTGATTTACGCCGTTTATACCCCACCTTTCTCCCCAGTGGGGGACCCAAAATAGCTTACATCATTCTCATCTCCTCCATTTTATCCTCACAACAACCCTGTAAGACAGGATAGGCTGAGAGTGCGTGTCTGGCTCAAGGTCACCCAGCAAACTCCCAAGGGGATTCGAACCTGGGTCTCCCAGATCCTAGGCAAACACAATATCCACTGTACTGTATCCCCTATACCATGTTGGGTAACTGTGGTTAGTGGGATTGTCTAAATCAGGGATGTCAAACACGCGGCCCTGGGGCCGGATCAGGTCCCCAGAGGGCTTTATCAGGCCCGCAAGGGACTGGCTGTCTCCTGCTTCTTCCTCCAGTTCTGCTGCCACTGCTGCATCATAGCTTGCTTTCCCAGACTCTCAGGAGAGATAGATAGGCAAGCTTCTGCTCCCTGCACTGGGCTGAGGCTCCTCCAGTTTGGTGTAGTGGTCAGCACAGACATTTTGATGCAATAATTTCGAGCAACAAGTGTCAGTTATCAGAGACTGTTAAATAAACAAAATATTGTAAGGAGGCTAATGTTTCAAACAGGTTAAAAAAACTCTTTGTGTTGGTGTCCTTTATAAAGTTTATATCTCTGCCAACTGGCATTACATTTTATGACACACATGGCCCGGCCCATCAAAGTCCAATTTATGTCAAATCCAGAACCTCCATAACAAATGAGTTTGACACCACTGGTCTAAATGGTGGCCTCTCTGCTAACCATGGTTACTTAGCACCCATTAAACAAGGGTTGCAGTTAGCTTATTAACCACAATTATGTCTAAGTGTAATTTTTGTAAGATGTGCTAAGGTGACGATAGTGGCTTGGGGCTGATTTCGCACTAGAACTGCCTCCATGTTGCGCCACCGTTTGCCCCGATACTATTGGTCAATTTCACACCCGAAGCCGCGAGGCTGCCTTTGACCCGCAGCTTTGCCCGATTTCCTCCTTAGTTTCGTGATCCTCAAAAAACAGGATCACGAAACTGCGGGGGAAATTGGGCGAAGCCGCGAGTCAAGATGCAGTACGGCTTCGGGTGTGAAATTGACCAATAGTATCGGGGCAAATGGCGGTGCAACATCGAGGCAGCTCTAGTGCGAAATCAGCCAGAGATTCCTGGTCAGAACAAAGACGATGAAATGTGTTTTTGCAGTATATCTTTTTCTCTTTCTCTTCCACAGTACAAGGATATGATTTGGGGGGGGTGTGTGTGTCACCAAGCAAAGTTAATGGACAGTAGATTAAGGGAAAAGAAAACAAACCAATTTTTCATAATTAATTTTAGGAATTTGCCATCATTACATGCGACCACTAGCTTTAAAAGAGGACTCAGTTCATGAAAAAGTAGAGGCTTTTATGGATGGCTGTTAGCTGTGATGCCCTGACTTGGATAGCCTAGGCTAGCTCGTTCTCGACAGATCTTGGAAGCTAAGCAGGGTCAGCCCTGATGAGTACTTGGATGGGAGACCACCAAGGAAGACCAGGGTCACTAGGCAGAGGGAGGCAATGGCAAAGCACCTCTGGTCATCTCTTGCCTTGAAAACCCTATGGCATTGCCATAAGACGGCTGCGACTGGACGGCAAAAAAAAAAAAAGGCTGTGTAGGCAAAATAGAACCTCCATGTTCAAAGATAGTATAGTATATGGTCCTCCCCTGCCAATACCTCTAACATCTTCAATATTAGATTGCAATTTTCCAAGCTGTATTCTAGATGGTACATGACCCCGCTCTAATAATGAACTGCTTTGTTGGAAAGGCTGCGGGCAGACAGGCACCTTTTTACATTGCTGGTGGGAGTGCCCGAAGATCGGCAAGTTTTGGGAGGAGATTCGTAAACAGATCAAGGAGATAACCTCGATTGATCTTAGTTTCAAGCCTGAAATTTTCTTACTTAATCGTTGGGATGCTACCATCAATAATAGGAACAAAGAAATAATCTCCTTACTTCTTGCTTCAGCACGTCTTTCAATTGCCTCATCTTGGAAATCCCCGCTGCCCCCCTCACTATCTGCCTGGCACGAGAAAGTATGGGAGCAATTTGTGATGGCCAAAATCACTGACAAAGTAAATAGGGCGCATTCAGTTGAATCCCCGAATTCTAAATTTGAAGCCATCTGGTTTCCAATTTTCACGTATCTTGTGGCACATGACATACTACCTGCAAACCCAAATTACCATAAATGGCTGTTGCTGTAAAGGTTTAGTTCATTTGCTGGTTAGGGAAAAGTTACTGATTGTTACTCTTCTTACTCTATTTCTGTAATCTAATGGTCATTTGTATTGTTCTTCTTCGTGGTAAGGCTTTGCTTTTCGCTGATATAAACTTGTTCCTCTAGGAAAAAAAAAAGATAGTATACTATTGAATGGCTGCGGATGAGGAAGCATCCGTGAAGGGCTGTTACCTTCATTCTTTGCTTATGGGCTTCCCAGGGGTGGTAGATTAGCCTGGAACGTGAAACAGGTTCTACTGTTCAAGTGGCCTGGCCTTTAATGTTTCACTTTGACCTATAGGAACTACCTGCGAGGTAGGCCCAATGTTTGTAGTGACCACGCCAGCCCGCTGTCCATTACTGACATTAGTAGCTGCAAGGGAGTGTGTTTTGTGTGAACCCAAAAACACCTGGGACTCCTGCGTCAGATGCCTTCCCTGGAAGCTCCTCTTCCCTAAGCCACCTGCTCATTGAGGAACTTCTGTGAAGTTTCCGAGGAACCTTGAGGGTTTCCCAGAACATGCTTTGCAAAACCACCACAGCCAACCAAAGACACAACTTGACCGCTTGCCACAAAACAGGGCACGCAAAATCCCATCCATCTAGCTATTGTTTGGGTTCCTGAGATAATGCACGCTTGCAATGCACTATGGAAACACAAAGCATTGTTATGCTAAATATTGTTGATTTTTTTGGTAGGCTTTATTTAGAGAGCTGGGGTTCTTGGCTATGAATCAGGA